ATAATAAATGAAGGCTGTACCTGTGTATTACATATGCAGGCTGTACCTGTGTATAACATATGAAGGCTGTACATGTGTATAACATATTGAGGCTTGACCTGTGTATAACAGATGAAGGCCGTACATGTGAATAACATATAAAGGCTGTACTTGTGTATAGCATATGTGGGCTGTACAAGCGTATAACATATGCAAGCTGTACATGTGTATGACATATTGAGGCTGTACATGCGTATACTTTTAGAAGGCTGGACACGTGTATAACATGTACAGCCTTCTAGTGTTATACAGAGGTACAGTCTTTATATGTTATACACAAGTACAGCCTTCATATTTTATACACAGGTACAGGCTGCATATGTTATACTCAAGTACAGAGTCCAGGTGTTATACACAGGTACAGTCTTTATAGGTTATACACATGTACATCCTCTATATGTTATACACAGGTACAGGCTGCATATGTTATACTCAAGTACAGACTGCATATGTGTATTACATATGAAGGCTGTTCATGTATATTGTGTATAACATATGAAGGCTGTACATGTGTATACTTTTAGAAGGCTGTACACGTGTATAACATATGGAGTCTGTTCTTGTGTATAACATATGAAGGCTGTACTTGTGTATAACATATGAAGGCTGTACCTGTGTATAAAATATGGCTGTACATGTGTATACCATATTTAGTCTGTACATGTGTATACTATTAGAAGGCTGTACACGTGTATTACGTATGAAGGTCGTGCATCTGTTTTGCAGATGAAGGCTGTGCACGTGTGAAACAAGTAAAGCTTTTGAGACTGTGCATGCGTGTATGCTATGATATTGTACATTTATATATAGTTTGTATGTTGTACGTGTATATAATATTCAATATTTAGCCTGTATCAGTGTATCCTAACAAAAGAAGGCTATAGATGTGCATAACATGATGTAGATTGTATGTTTGCATCCCATATGAAAAATGTACTTAAGTGTTTATAGGTTTATGTCAAAAATATATTTCCGTGTTTGGATGTCTCCCCGTTTTCTGTCGTTGTCTTAACTTTAGTTGGAAACTCTGTTCCTTTTTATGTATCCATATCTGTTTGTGTAACTTGTCATATAATGTGATATGACTGGGATACAATGATCCCCTTTTTCATTTGTTAAAACCTAGTGTAATTATTATATTCTGATCACTATTATACGAGTATTGCCATGCCTGGAAATCATTCCCTATTATATTATTGTAGAATACAATGAGCTATTATAAAACACAATGGATTTTTAAATGAAGATAGAATCGTTTTATTTTTGACATAGAATAAAACTGGTTCATAATCATATTAATATATATATTGTTTTTCATATGTATGCTTATATGATATGAAGATATCAGTATTTTAAATAATACAGCCCGATACTGAGATGGTCTTAGTTACAAGACTATGCTTTTGATAATGTAGCTTCACAGACTTGTACGGGAGTGTTCCCAGGGAATTTAAACAGTTCGGCTTTTTCGTATTTGTATTTCGTTTTGTAAAGATTACATTTTCTCCACGTATTTTTAAAAAATCTTGTATTGAATGTAACATAAAAAAGAAAGTGTAACATCATGGCTATGTAACTAAAAAGTTAGATCACTAATATGTATGGTCCCTACCCTGTAAAAGTAAGGCGATATCTCTGGTTATCTGATAAAGTGCCCAAAATAGTAAGCAAGTGGACATGTCTTTCGTATTTTGTTACCGATAGTTTACCAAAATTATAGACCATGACACGACATTTTCTTTCTAGTTTCGCTCTTAAACATCTCCAATAAGCTATAGAATGAGGTACAACGTTTCAATTCATTGTACACAAATTGAGTATATTGGCGTGGCTGATTTACAGGCAAGCAGCCATGATGACACTGCCGGTAGTCTATGACAGTATAATGTAGAACCTACATACTTAACTTAACCCGTATTAAAAGTCGTTCATAAACATATGAGAGCAATGCGTCTTGTTCTCATTTTGTGTCATTAACTGCGTTGTTTTGTTTCATATGAGGAAAGTATGGACATCCTAAACTTAGACAATCATGAAAATGCAGTATGACTTTGATGTATGATCTTGAGCCAGTGTTGTTTTTATGGACGTACATCTCTTTAAATTGATCTATTTTTGTTTCAGATTTGCAATAAAGTAGATCACTAAATAAACAACAGAATTATCGGCGCATTTGCACCAAATAAGGTTGGAGTTCAAAAATCATTTACAGAATACGAAATGTACTTGTACAACGAGAAGGTAACGTGACCGTTTGTGGTTCGATGACACCATTTTATACATGTTTAAATAGATGATTCTATTAATATATTTAACATCGTCATGCTTTCTTATCAAAGATATACAAGTGAACATGTCCACGTGATAAGTTCACTTTATATCACTTTAAGTATATTAAAAATCTATTGTCAGTTCTGTTTTAACCAAGTTATAGACAAAAGTGGGTTGACAACTCATTGTGTTCGTGATACCATTTCAGTAAGTTTATGCTATGTGAAACTGTTTGTGCTTCTGAAACATAATGTTGCAATTAACAGATATTGAAATTATATTTCTGTGTTGTATATATAGACTCGGCACCAATCCATTGTAACAATACCTTATCCAATATTAATAGAAAAAAGTATCTATTAGCCTTTCATTAACCATATAAAAAAACCTTACATAACACATAATGCGTTTGTCAATGTACTAGTGTAACATTATACATAGAAATAATTAATTCTAATGAAGTATTTGTTAGTGTTAGTTTCTGGGCTTTATGATAAACATCCGTGTATACCGTTGATATTAATAGCGGTTTTATATGTCGGCGTACCCAGAGTAAACAATCACATTATATATGACATTAACAAAAAAGCCACAGATATTGCAAAAGAAACACACGCAGATTCAGTCTCCGGGAACATTTAATGGCAAACATTGTTATGACGTCAAACGGATAAGTCCGATGTGAGTGTGACCATTTTGACTGACATGATAGAAACACGCGTCGCTGACAATCCTAGTAACTGTATCATAAAATGTGATAGATGAACTAAGTTTCTAGGAAGTTGCGTGTGCTCCGAGCGCCTTTATAGGTTTTGATGTACTTTAACAACTTGGTTTCGCCTCCGGTTTCTGTGGGGTTTATGCCTCCTTCCTTTTGTTTCTGTTTTCGTAGCTGTTTTGTGTTCTGATTATATGAGTTTACGCAAATCGTTTTTTGTTTTCTGTTTTACAATAACTATGTATGCTTTCTAATATCTCTGTCCTTTTTTCACAGAAAATGTCACTGTACTCTCAAACTGTTCTGAATGACTGATATTTGGTGAGACATATTCTTCATTTTGAGCCATGAAAAGTAGAAATATCATTGTAAATTTACACATATTACAATTGCAAGGACATTATAATAATCATTTGTTAGGTTATTGTTACCTGTAAAATATTCCAGAAGTTATTTGACTGAGGATTATGAAGTAATTGTTATTTTGCTAATATTCCGTAACCTTTATTTGGAATATCTAGTAACATTTGAAAAGGAATATCAGGTAGTTGGTATTTTGAGAATTTTCAGTAACATTATACAAAGGCTATATGGTAATTATGCTGTGACATAAGAAACATAACCTATTGCATTGACGTTCTGTCACGTGGGCTTTTACAATAGTGGCATTGTATTATACAACGACTCATTACCTTGTGGATTGAATCCCTGATATAACTATCCACTCTACTCATCCTAGACCATCAGTATATCTATTAGATATATTAATAACTTTCAGTACCATCCAAAAGACACTTTAGGACAAATAACATAATTCCAACCTGCAACTCTACTGTATGCATGCTTATAACATAAATATGGGTTCATAATCCATAACTTGGTAAATAAGCTTTTGAAAAAAAAAAAATATATCTTCTTTATATTATAATTTTAATTTGATTTCTTTTTGTATCCCAACTCTTTATATTAAAATTTTAATTTGATTTCTCTTGTATCCCAACTCTTGAAGTACTGCTAAGTTGATTTGGTATGATTCTAATAAGAATGCGAAACAAAACCAGAAAAAGATGACTTTAACAAAAAGTTTGTGAAACTTTAAAACATTTTCACGACAATAACGCTGATATTTATTCCACTATTTTGAGCTCAAATTTAAGATATACTGAGTAGTTTAATAATTACGACATTCAACGAAACACGAAGAGCATTCCTCGTTTAATGTAAAATAAACAAACAAAAATACCACTGAGTGAACACGCATCTTAACCATCGGAAGTTTTAATGTGGAACGAAACGGCAAAAGGAAAATATCATACTTTAATTATATTGAGAACAGGTGTAGACTGGTTTTCAATGTGGAAACATGAGTAACATGTACTGTAACGCCTCCTGGTGTTTGTTTTATGTTGTACTAGCCTACAAACCTGTTCATTTGTTGGTATTACCTCTCAGTTAAAGTAGTAAGCAATTATGTATTAAATAAAATTAAAAAAACATATCACAGCTGAAAAAACATCAAACCAAACGGAAAACGACATCACCCCCACAAAACACAAAAATCAGGAGGCGAACTGATGCGCCGGAAGGGTAGTTATTAAATTTTAACTCAAGAGGATAGCATACGAATTAAGAATAAGTCATTAAATTGACATATGTAAAAACAATGTGATATCTTTATACAAGGCACAGGAAATGAATTCTCTTTAGACTAAAATTATGTTCAAAATGAGTTTTTACCTATATAATTAAACCCCTTAATAATATTAAGGCTGAGCGTTGATTGGTGATATTGAACCCCTGTACCGTTATATCTTCACATAGACAATCTATAACACAATAACTGCCGTGTTCCCGTCTAGGGCTGGGCTTATAAAAGTGTATAATGAAACGCCTCACGCGGAACAAAGGAACACGATTTGAGCTCCCACTCTCAACGTAACGAATATGGCCAAGGCCACCAGGTATTTACTGAAGCCACGGTTGGATGGGCAGGATTTTCACCTACAGTCAGTCAATCTCGCTACGAATGCTATTAAAGCCCCCGTCACCTATAAGGCTGCCAGTATATCAAAACAAACGTGTGTATAGGCATTGATCGACACAGGAGAGAGTTTGTCGCCCTACTGAGTCAATCAGATGTCGTCTGCTCACAACATAACAACATAGGACAGCGCTCATACCATCTTCCTTCTCTTCCTCAGCCTTCAACGACAGCCTTTTAGGTGTGTCACACGTTGATATTTTCATCGTTTTCTACGAGACTTTCTTTTGAAAGTAGGAAATTACACTGCCATCATGAATTTCAAAAAGTCCAAGTTGTACAAGACTATTATCAATGGAACTCCGGAGGCGGTGATGAAGACCCTCTGGGACTACCTCAAGAGCGGCAAAGATGTCAATATGAAGGATGAAACTACAGGGGAATCCCTGCTTCATCTTCTTGTCCGACATGGTGAGAGGTTTTGTACCCCAGAAACAATTCAGGCCATCTACATGTTGGTGTGTAAGGATGTAGACATTGACGCCCAGGATCAAGCGGGGGAAACGGCCCTCCACTTAGTCATGAGGAAAAAAGGCACCTACAGGATAATGATGGCCATTGTCAGGTGAGTTCTGTTAAACAGGCGACATTTGTTAACCAGCAGACGTAATTTTTTATTTTTTATTTATCAACATCAAATATGGCGGACTAGGAATAATGAGTGTTTTCTCTGGTTCCGTTCCGTGTCTGTGTACACACATATGCTCAGGTAAGGTAGACTCCGGTGAAAAGCTGGACCGTCAGATAACCTGATGTATACATAGTAAACAGGAAATGATAGCGTTATGTGTCATATCTGGGTAAAACAATGACATTTATGAGCGATTGAGTGAGTGATCAGACATACGCATGGCTTTATCACTACATACGCCTTCTTATACGTTCTCTCTTTTTCAAATGCCTTTGAGCAGACGATAATGTTACTGACAGCGAAACAAGTCAGGCATGACACCTTCGTCACATAAAATCAGTGAATACGGAATATGGCTATGAGGTATGATTATGACCTCGGTTTGAAACTTTACTGTGCATTGTGAAATCACATTTAACTTTCTACCCTTTTACAGTCACTTAATCTCTTTCTTTCATGCAATTTATCAATTTACATCGGCTTGACACCGCCCGGGTGTGCTGAGTTGCATAATAATAAATGTAATATTGGCATTTAATTTGAGTCGTGCAAACTCTTGTATCGTACGAATGCTGGGGACAGGCAAGACATTGGAGTAGTGCAACTATCATGACATTGTTCATGACTTCATACATTTATTATTGTTTGCGCATTCGGTAAAATGGATTTCCATTGTCCAACAAAAGTTCATTGGTTTCATTGACTAACGTTCAGGTTTTAGTTGATGTGGATCATCTGAAATAGATTGTTAATTGTACACTGAGAGTATTACATTATTTTGAGGTATGCACTATCAACTTATGTATTCTGATACTCTAAAGAAGTATACTGCACGTGTTTGGAAGGAGTTTTGGAGTGTTCATTGTATTTTGTTGTGGGTCATTTTGTACAAATTAATGAATGGAGAAAATATAGATGAAGGAAAAAAATACACCGAGACCATTGCAAAAGCACAAGGATAATAAGCCTTGCATCATTGACGGCACTCATCGTGTTAAGTGAAGTCAAATCCAAATATTGTCATTTCCTCAATGTGTGAACCGAGGCAGTGAGAAATTCTACCACAAGGCACACTAATGAGCATAATAACAAACAATATAATTTGTTATTCTTCTTTCGTTAACTATCGTTCTCAGTTGCTGCAGAAATATATCTTCTCACATGGTAGTCCAACAGCAATAACAGCTACTGAAGAGTATCCATCCTGACAAGTGCCACACATATTGCAATCACAATTGTTATTAACAAAGACAAGTATCACACACGGTATCACATAGCAATCCAGTTAAGTATATGAAATGTACATCCTGATTCGTATCACACACAAGTACAAGTAACAACTTACAATTCCCAACTGATATATAAAATGTCTATCATGACAAATGTGACACATAACATCTTACAAACCTCATTCTTACCCTTTGCTTTGATATCTACTCAGACATAATCTGTTAAATTCCAACGAAACGTCAGGAAATTTATTTGTATCAATAAAGTCCCATACTTTTTAATACACACGTCGCACCACTCCATAAGTCAGCCAATCGCCAGGACAAGTACGTTATGAAAATCGGGTGCAGACAAAAGTGATACAATCTAACTGTCTTTAATGCCAACCATCTCTTAGTGTCAATGTTTATAACGTTTAAAAATGTTTCATTCTTCTCTCTTTTGTCTGATATTCTTGTTCTGCTGAAACAATGGTATAAACTTGGCATCAATAACTAAAATGGTTCGTACGTAATTTGAAATAATACCGCGTAATTCTATCATGGATAATTTATGCGTAACAAATTAGGCTACATATTAAGCATAACAGCAAAGGTTGATATATTTCACATCCATGTCGAAAGATATACAGATATGCATCCGTTTAACAACGTAAGACAGAGAAGGACAGACAGACGTAATCGTAATCCATTATCATCAAAATTAGCATTTTTCTTTCACACAATGAAATGTGAATTAATTGTAGACGGATGAGCGACCGCATAATGCATGTGGGGAAGTAAAAACCTTTTCAGTTGTGACAGGTGGGCTTCACAAAAAGCATGGAACGTTAGATAGGGTAACGTAATAGTATGATAATGAGTTAACACGGGTTTCCGCTAAACACGCCCAGCTATTAACCTATTTATGGTAGGAAAGTGCATCGAATAATGGCGATTCTAGAAAGCGTAGTATATTAAACCGGGTACATACAGATGAATCTAATAACATACCTGAACTTAGTTTTCTTTTTAACTAGTGGGCCAGATACAGAAAAGGGATTTTTAATACGTCACGACCCAACAATAAATAATAGTTGATACTGATTAATCTACTTGTTGATCTATCCATTTAAAGTAACTTCAAATATAAACAATGCCTGTATAATATATCCAAAGGTAAATGGATTTATCACGAATTTAATGACATGCTGTAAAATTTGCAAATTGTTTTTTTGTCTGCATTTTTCATTTGTTATCAAAAATACGTTGAAAATTAAATAATACATAAAACAAGGTTAAAAAAGTAATCGGTTTCTGTTTAGATATGAGCTTTTTAGATACGATTTTATTTGCCGTAAACTTGTTATCATTTTATCTTCTAAATATTGAACAAATAATTAGACACTTGTTTTTATACATTATCAGTGACGTTTGTCATTAAACATTTACAATGGCAGAAACGCATATAAGGAAAATATTTTTTTTTATAATTATAACCACAGTTAAAATATATTGTTGGATTTGATGAAATTATACACTTGTCTGCAAATAATATGAGTTGAGGTGTTACAAAAATTTCAAATTCAATTTTCATGATTTTCAAACATTGCATCAGAATACATTTTCCACTGGTTAAAAGTTGCCACTTGCAGAAAACGTTTAAGGCATTTTAACATGGATGTGAACTGTTAAAATACTGACTATCAATAAAAGTTGCTCTAAAAATCATATTCAATAAAATGACACTGGCTATGTATTTGAACATGAGTTTTTTTTATTTCATTTTTAAAGTAGTTAATTTAGAATTAAATCAGTTCAGTGTGGGAGACGTTCNACCATGTTGTCACATTTGGTTTCATAAGGTGTTACATTGATGTTATCTACTGGCAGAGGCAGCAATTTATTTCAAATAATCGGATGTCTCCTTGTTATAATGTTGTTATAATACTTTGAGTTGCTGATATTTTCATGAATTAACCGTATAATTTTTGTTATTGTCCTGTTTCAAAATATAGAGCATCTATGAAGACTAAGGAGGGAAGTGCTGTTATAAATGCAAACCATTGTTATTAGGACCTTTTGCCTTACACAACCATGCCAGGACTCTCAAACACATTCTAAAAATGGTCAAATCAAGGGTGTGTGCATTATATAATACGTATTAAAGACTACAGTTAGGATAAAGATAAACTTAAGGTATAAAACGGATTTCGACTTTTCGCTTGGTCTGAATGAATTTTTCGCCCATACTGCTTTTGATGTTTTTTCTTTCTTTTTGTTATGATATGTTATTTTTTGGGATATGATATTTTGTCCAATACTTTGCTGACACTTCAAACAGTTACACTACTTTGAATTTATTGATGCTTAGGTGCCAGTTAGTGTATGCGGGCATTTACCTGTACAATTCTAATTCAATGCCTCTTTCTCACGTACCCTTTTTATAGATTGATGATCAAAGCCAGAAACTAACCTAAAGTTTTACCCTTGAATAATCTTTTTTCGAAAGTGTGACGTTTACAGTCAGGCATTTCCAGATGAATTTTCTACAGGGGCCGTCTGTTGGGACTAAATGCGTTACATGTATTGATTTGTAAATGAAAGGCTCTGTAACAAAGGTTTGAACTTTATCCCATATAAAAAAAAAATAAAAAAAAATAACAAAAACAACAACACGTAAATGCCATAGAATGATAATAGATCTCACAGGTGGATTCCGATGTAGATTTATTGTACTTGAGCCGTTCCTTTTCATTCGATTGACCTACACTTCTAAATAGCGTATCGGTAAATATTCTTTCTAATATGACCATCGTATCTTTTGTACGAGTTTTCTATAGTTCTGTCCGTGTACATATTCTTTAATTCTCCTATGTAAATATGTATGAACGGTATTCTTCTGTTACATTGCCTAAACGAGGTACTAAAACTTCAACTAAAACGGGAGATGTTTCGATATTTCGTGTATTCTGAGCAGGTAACGTTCAATATCGGCAAGCTACATTTCAATCTAGACGACATTTTGGTTCTGGAATGTAATAAACACCGGGTCGTGAGTGTATTGTTACTCCATACACGGTGTTTGTCATCAGTGTGTCCCTCGCTTTGATCCCGGCTGAACGCGATCATTCCGCCCGACCGGTAGGTGTATTACGTGCATGGCTGGACCTCTATAACGTCTCCTACTTCAGCTTCGATTCTTTGATTGGAATTCCTTTTCGTTCGTTTCTTTTCTATAGGTAATGACAATTGAAGCGAAACGTTTATTGTTACCACACGTTTTCTCTGTCTGGCCAACTCTGGGCGACTAATTCCCCGGTAAATGGGGATGATTTGGCCGTATCACCCACTGGGTCAGATTCGACCGTCCTTTAATCACTCGTTTTACGTTATACCCTGATGTGAATTTGAATACTTTCCTTGTATAACATGCGCCATGATGTTTTGCCCAATGCCGTGGATTAGTAAAGATTCGTTGTTCTGAGGGTCATTTTGTAGAACCCATGTCTCGTAAACAACCCCTGTAATAGACGAATGATTGAACAACTATTCTTTATCTTCTTGCATTTCGAGTTTTTCACCTGTTTAACATATCAGGTTTAAAGTGTGTAATGACAGAACTCCTTACCATGTTGTGGTGTAGTACGCTCGTTTTGCTTCTTCTTCTAATTGCGTTGATAGACATAGTTGAAGTGTCCGTTGATATTAATGGTAGATAACTCT